TACAAAGTGATTATATCTGCCCGGCCAAAGGAAATTAAAAACAGAGAGCCAATGGCAAATCCTTCTCCACTTCTAACCACCCTCTCCAGGTAACGCATCATGAATTACAGTTTTTGCGGTTTAGCACTTGTTGTCATTTCCTTCTCTTGCTGGGCTTGCTGGCAACAGGCTACAGCAAGAACCTTAGTTGGAGCCAGGCTGCCTGGGTTTGGATCCACACTTCCTAGCTGTGTGACTTTGGGGAAGTTACTTAACCTCTCCGTGCCCCGCATTCTCATCTGCAACATATAGATAGCAATTGTACCTACCTCATAGCATGTTGCCAGGATCAAACGAGTTAAAATCTCTAAAGTGCTTAGGACTGTGATGGGCTCAGAATAAGCACTAAGAAAGTCCTGGCTGTCATTAGTCCAGGTGGCCTTGAAATAAAATGGGGGTTGCTTGCTTGGGATTGTTACCCAAGGCAGGGAACGCTAGGAGCCAGGCCTGTCTCAGAACCTCCTTGACCCCAGTGCAAGACACACATGTGCACACACGTGTACACATGCACATGAGAAAGCATCACGTACGTACCTCCTGGGTTCCTGCGCAGGCCTGGTGAGCCAGCATGTGTGCGGGAGGCGCCTCTGCTCAGGCCAGTCTGAGGACCAGCAAGAGGCAAAGGTGGCAACTGTGAGTCTGCCCACGAGGCACCTTCCACGGGGACATTAGTCCCTGAGTACACGGCCCTGGGGCCTGAGGCCAGGTTCCAGCAGAGGATAGAAGTCACTTTCCCAATGCACAGCCAGCCGGAGATGGACACTGGATAGAGGTCACTCTGTTGCTAAGCCCGCCTGGTCCATTTCTCCCTCTCAGCAGGGACAGCCCAACAAGCCCTGGTGGCACAGTCTGCATCAGAGAAGACGTCCCTGAAAACAGCTGCCTGGATTTTAATTAAAGTTCAGCAGGAGGGGACTGCGACCAGGACAACGATTGGAAGCTGGGCCATGCAGAGGGAAGAGTCTGGAGTGGCCGCTGCTGAAATATTTAGAAATCACGGAACAGAATCTGCACCTGTCCCCTCCTGCCCAGGAATGGAAATCATTTGTTTCTTTTCTGCCTAGTGTTTTACCGTAAAATTAAAAATTGAGCTTGTCTTCGTACTTTAGGTACCTAAGTATCAGATGGAAACTTGCTAAAATGCAGATTCCTGGGCCCCCACGAGCATCAGCTTCAAGAGGGCTGGGAAGCCTTGGAACCTGCATTTAATACGCTTCCTCCCAGTGAGTTTTACTCTGGTGCTCCACGGACTGCACTTAAACAGGAGAGTGGTCACAGCAGTTATGTTTTCAAGATGATATTACATAGTCGAATGTTTTAATATTCTCCGGATTACTAAACTGGTACCCAGTCTACGTCCTCCCAGAGCTGAGCGTCTAAGAAAATATATGGGAATCCAAGATAATTATATTTCAGCCAGAGCTCTGTTGTGGTCTGATTGACTTGCAAAATATGCAAATTAGACAGTTTTATAAAAATGTTAATAATGTAAAGAAAACATATTTTGAAGACATTTTGAAAATAATGGTACCAATAAACTGCTCTGTTTGACGTGAAATGTAAGTATAATACAAAGTTCTTTCATGAACCGGGCGCGGTGGCTCACGCCTGTAATCAATCCTAGCTCTCTGGGAGGCGGAGGCGGGCGGATCGCTCAAGGTCAGGAGTTCAAAACCAGCCTGAGCAAGAGCGAGACCCCGTCTCTACTATAAATAGAGAGAAACTAATTGGCCAACTGATATATATAGAAAAAAATTAGCCGGGCATGGTGGCGCATGCCTGTAGTCCCAGCTACTCGGGAGGCTGAGGCAGGAGGATTGCTTGAGCCCAGGAGTTTGAGGTTGCTGTGAGCTAGGCTGACGCCACGGCACTCACTCTAGCCTGGGCAACAAAGCCAGACTCTGTCTCAAAAAAAAAGTTCTTTCATGGAGGGAGAGAAAATTGCCTGACTTTATCAAACGCATCCAATAATATTTTAAGCAGAATTTTGGAATATGTTACATGCATGTCACAAACACTTGCGTATGAATTCTCTGAATGCGAAACAAATTTATTCCTGCTTTGATAGCTTTAGATATCGTGTGCATGGCAGGGTGACATCTGCCTTCAGTGTATCTCTATGCATTTTGTACAAACCTAGTATTTGAAAAACGACAGCTGTCTCCCAGATCCTGAGGTGACACATAAATCTCCAGGGTTTGTGCGAATGATTTTAAGTAGGTCAAGTGCCCTGAGTCCCTCAACACATTCGCCACCTTTTCTGTCTTTAATTTCTCAGCTCATCTACCACATGGAAAATGTGATAATTAGGAATATATAAGGTGTTGTGCAAAATGCCTTGGAGAGCTGTAATCTGATTTTCTGAAGAGATTTTTAATGCATAATTATATTCTTATGAATTCACTGGCTGCACAAAGAACCCACCTCCATACGGCACCTCTATAAACACCACAGGGCTGCATTTGTATATTTCAGTGTTACAGGTTGTTATGCTGAACCATCAGCATGCATTTTACTATAAATTCTTCGTTCTGTGTGCGTTGGTTTTAACCAAACTCAGAGTCAAAAATGAAAGTGACTCAATTCTCTAAATCTCTTCTCCTTTAGACAAGGACGACTCTGTGATGGAGTTGCCAGGCAACCACCCCGCCCCTCCTCCCATCTTGGGCTGGGCTTGGGTGTCAGGGCGACCGTCCCACTGTCCTGAGAGAATCTGCAACACCCAGGCTGCTCACCTGAGGCTGCAGACTTTCATCAAGTGCTCCCACATCTGCTTTTCTCACCTCAGTGGGGCCATCTACACCTTGGGTGTGAACTGATTTTGCACTTGGAGTGCAGAAAAATATGTGGGTGTGTGAAAACTAGAGCAGGCACTTGTTAAAGTATAAGCTTCAGCTGAGCTACACATATGGAATATTATATTTTCCCCACAAGACTTGTGTTTGTTTGATTGAGAGAGAGAGTACTATGAAGTATACACGAAACTCTTCAGGCCTTAGTCCCTGCCCTCTGTGCCCACAAAGGAACAGCCCGCGGTTTTCATTCAATCCGTCGTTCATCCCAGACTGTACTGAGAGTGAGTTTGCATTTACTGAGTGAGTCGGACACTGCAGTATCTTCCTTGCCCAGGTCAGAGTGTGGGGCGCACAGAGCAAACACACAGCCGTGACACAGGGAGATTCAGGTGATGTTCGTGGTTGGGGGGCGAGGGCCTCCGGAAAACGAAGGAAGGGCCTTTAGCCAGATGGGGCATCTGAAGAGACTCCAGAGGAGCCTGGTTTTCAGAGCTAATTCCTTAAAAAAGTAAACCAATTGAAACAGAAATTAAGAAAGATGACTTTAGACAAAGTCACAGTCACAAGGGGATGGATATATATGCACACAATGAGTGTGATGGGGGATGGACACGCTTGAAGCTCTGACTTGAGGAGGGAGCGGGGGCAAGGGAAATATACCCAACCTTAACATTTGTACCCCCATAATATGCTGAAAAAAAATTTTTTTAAAAGTCACAGGCACAACCAATTAATTTCTTCAAGTTTTCCTTCTCCTCCATTAGGCAGAATATTACCTCAGAGAGGCAAAGCTTTACAAATACCATTCCTGCTAGCCTGTAGCAGAAAATACCAGTAGGGGAAGCAGCCCCTGGTCTATGCATAGATACTTACACTAGGTTTCATTTTTATTTTATTTAAAGTTTGGTTGGGTACAAAAAAAACCACATACACTTAATGAGTTAAAATATCCAAATAAAATTTACTGCAACTTTTGTAGAATTTAATTTGTGCTACAAGACATGTTGCATAGGAAACTATTTAAAGCCCCTGAGGAAAAATATCCATGGTTTTAAGGTGCAACTGGTTTTGTTTCTTCTTTGGGGAGAAGGGAGAGATGGCATGAGGTTCTGGGAAGCAGAATCGAGTTTGTCACGTGTGGTGCGTGGGGAACTGTGTGTCCTGGTTCCTGTAGCACGAACGTCTAGTGTCTGTTTTTTAGTCAGTTGGTCTTCAGTATCTGAATCAGTAGCTATATAACAATGTTCTGGCCCAGGAAGGGAGTACACATTGATTATACTAAGTAATTAACACATTGCAAGAAGCGGTTTTAGAGAATGAGATTCAGGGACCCCCAGTGGCCCAGCTCCACTTCCAACAAACACGGTGCATGTCCCGGCACGTTCCTGGGAATCGCCTCACTCAGCGGACCGGCCAGGTATCAGCCCTGCCTCTTGCTCCCGTCTGAGATGCCACCACTACCGTGCAGTTGTAGAATTCGGCACACATGCCTGCACCCTACGGGTTACTAATACAACACTTTGCCAACTTCCCAATTTTATGTGAGAAACATTTTCACTTTTAGAAAATGTTCATGTTGCTCAGATGATCTTTATGTTGTACACAAAATGGTTTCACTGACACTATTTCTTTTCAAGAAGGTACACTGGGAAGGAAGAGGGATTAAATTTCAGATGAGATGAGATGAAATGAAATGAAATGTAGAGTTTGGCAAATGGCAGCTGGCACCTCTGCACGTCAGCATGCAGTGTCGCTTGTGGGGCCGACCATGGTATTTGCAAAGGGTGTGGGAAGAGCGGTGGCCACCAGAGCTCTGATGTGGTGGTGAAGTTGTCTTCCTGTCCGCAGGAGAGGCAGTGAGCTTTGCAGGAAGCACCCCCTGTCCCAAAGGGAGAAACAGTACGATGGCTCTGAGAGCAGCAGGGACCACCTCATTGTCAATGGCACTGTTCTTGCGAGTGACACAGGCAGGGGCTGTGAAGAATGTCACCTCCGACTGCCTTCTACTCTGGTGGCAGAAACACCTCCCAGCACCTGATTGCTAATGTGGGACTTAACCCTGCCCTCTAACGCTCACAGAGATTCACATGTTCCGTGGATGACCACTGACTACAGCATGAGGCAAAGACGGAAGACAATTAAAATAAGAGGCGCAGGACTTAGGGCTTCTCAGGAAGAACAGGTATGGGCTGCGTCCATTTACTGAAAACCCGCTTCTCCCGTTTGATTTACCTTTTTACAAGCAGGGAGTGAGAAAGGTCCAGTACCCGAACAAGATCCTTCTGTGCAGTGTTGAAATGCAAAGTATGTCTGGGAATCAGAAACGCCCGATGACCTTTAAATACCTATATACATCTGTAACATAATTTAAAAAGGTCTTTAAACAACATAAAAACCTCAACAGCATCTGCCCCTATTAAATTGTTTTTTAACCTTTATGGTCCATTACAAAATTAGATACCACCTTTCTCATATGTCCCCTCCCCCCATTCTTTATAAAAGTGATTTTACATTTAAATTTATACTTAACAAATAGAAAGCTATTTGATTGGCAACGATCAGCAGTAGAAAATCCCTTCGGGCCTCTCCCCGGATGGGGGAGAGGGTGGAGCATCACGTGGACGTGGTCCCTGGGTGTGGGTCCAGCGGGTGGACCCTGGGTCAGTCTGAGCAGCTGTCCCTTCCTCCGTCCCAGCCCCAGGTGACAGCAGGGCAGCTGGGGGCTCGTGCTCCAGAGCAGCAAGGGATGGCAGGGAACTCGTTCAGATCACAAAGTCATCATGGTCCGCGGGGCTGAAGGCGGCGGCTCGCAGGATGTCCAGGGAGTTCACCAGGATCAGCGTCCCTGTGAGGTGTTTCCAGCGCTTGGTGATGGGGTTTTTCATCTTGTCCAGGCCCGTGTGCAGCTCCTGGATGACGTCCCGGTAGCTGTCCCCGATCTGGTGGCTCCAGGTGAGTAGGAAGTCATAGGCGGGTTTCCACATGGCCTGGGTGGTGGAGCCATAAAGAAACAAAGGAGGGAGGGGGACAGAAGATTAGGAGACAGTGAGAGATTTGCTCCTGTTCCTTGCCACAGCTGCCTTAGCCACTGTTCACCACACTCTTCCAAGAGTGAAACAAGCCCGCAGGAGAAACAGGTGGAACCGCCTCTGGGCAGGCACAGCACACATCAGGGGCAAGGACGACACTGCGTGACAGCAAGTGTGCGCCCAATGGCTCCGTGTAAACAGAAACGGTTGCTCTTCCCTTACAATCCTTGCTGCACTTCCTCCCTGGGCCACTCGTTTAGAAATTCACTGTGCTAATCAAAGACACCTTTATTGTTCAGACTTCCTGCTTCCTAGGTCTCGCAAGCCTGAATGTTTTTGAGGAGGCTCACCATGGAGACCTCCACCAACAGGCGTGAACACAAGAGCCTCTGAGCAGGAGGCCCACCTGCACGGGTGTGGCCAAGGTTACAGAATACCAGGTACTGCTCCAACCCAGCTCGTGGGTAGAGACCCAGGCCGGGTCACAAAGCATTGTCTGTGCATTATTCAACCTTACTGAAGGTAATTTAGGATAGAACAGTACGACACAGGCAGTCCTGTGTGCGGGGGCGGGGGGGGCCCTCCCGTGTCGTGGGGGCATGGCTTGCCACCCCGAAGCAAGGGCTTTCTCCCGCTCAGTGAGGGTGCATTGCATGCTGGGTACAGACTCACATGTGCCAACTCATCTTAATGGGAATGCTGTGCAGACCTTTTTATTACTGAGCTATGAGGGTTGAGGGACAGAGGGGGACAGAGGGGCCGAGTGACCATAGAGCTTGGTCACCACTCACCTCACTGTCCACAACCCCATTCCTGTCCCTATGGGGAGACTCGTAGGCGTCCATCTGCTGCTTGGAGACCTTGGCCAGCTTCTCAGCCAGTTCCCGCCAGCGCTGCGCCACCTCCACAGCCGTGGTCAGGAGCACGAAGTCCTGGATGAGCCGGACCACCAGGCCCTGGCAGTCCATCTTCAGCAAGGCCTGAGGAGGAAGCACAGCGTGAGGCAGGGCACAGTGTGGGTGTCACTCACGGGGACTCCAATGCACAGCTGGTGCTGAGAGGGCGATGGGCTCCCTAGCCTGGACATCTCAAGCCTGTCCTCGGATGTCCCGCACAGCTGGGACCCAGAGGAGGGAAGAGGTGATGGGCTGTGCTCCTCCAAAACCCACATGCACCTGGAACCTCAGAATGTGTGACCTAGCTTGGAAGGCCTAAGGTCTTTGCAGATATAAGTAGTTAAGATAAGGTCCTAGTGGAGCAGGGGGTCACCAGTGATTGGTGTCTTTACAAGAGGACAAACACTGAGACAGAGGGAAGGCGGCCAGGTGAAGACAGAGGCAGAGACTGGAGCAATGCAGCTACCAGGGACTAGGAGGGAGGCCGGGAACAGATTCCCCGGAGCCTCCAGAGGAAATGAACCTGCCGACACCTTGATCTTGGACTTGTGCCCTCCTGAACTGTGAGAGAGTAAATGTCCATTGTTGGAAGCTCCCCAGGTTGTGGTAGCCCCAAGAAAGTAGTGAATATAGATTATAGCTGTTCATCCTGTTCCCGCTCCCACTGGGGACACTGGAGAGAAAGAGATCCTTTCACCAAACAGATGATACAGCCTGAGCCCAGAGGACAGAGGAGCTACACCTGCTGAGCGTGAACTGCTGACGCCACCAGCCAGCTAGACCAGCCTCAGACGGGCGAGCTCAGATGGGTACCACCCAGGGAGAACAGTGAGGACAGAAGTAGCCCACGCAGAGATGGAGGGGCACCACCAAGCACCTCAGTGACCAGCGAAGAAGACCCTTCCCAGAACTGTGAAACAACAGGAAACATCTTCCATAATCAATACTCCCTCATCAATGCTGTAAGAATTTTCCAGTGTCTTTAGGATAAGGGTTATAACTACGGCAGGACTCAGGGGACATGACCCTCACCTGGGAAGGAGGCCACAGGACAGAGCTCTGCTTGGACAGTGCAGTCCCAGCTCAGCCCCCAACAAGCACGTGGCTGCCTTGGTACTCAATACCATCTGGAAAAGGGGCTGGGTCGGACAGGCACCCGACAGAAGCCTCGACAGCTTGACGCATCTGTGCAAGCCCAGCTGGGGTCACACGGACATTTCTGACTTAAAGGAACACACCAATCAGCGGGCAGAAGCCAGCAGGCAGGCGAGTCTGCACACCACGTGGAGTGAGTTGTCCACTCTCAGCCAGGAGACTGTGCTGGGTGTCACACAGGCGGCCTTGGCTGATCACAGCTACAGAGGAGGCCAAACACGGTGAGCATGGAGCTCCGAGCTGGCCAGGATGACATCACCCAACAGGAGGAGCCCCAGGAAGGCAGGAGAGCAGCTCTCCCCACCCTCCCCCTTAACACTTTCTGCTGTCCTGCAACAGGAGAAGACGGGAAAAGACCTGGCTTCCTGGGAGAAGTGGGCTCCCAGGCACGCACAGAGATGGTTTCCGAGTCTCCCGTGCACACCTGGACAGGTGAGGATAAGACCACAGAGATGCTAGGATAGAAAAAAGTCACCAGGCCTGGCGTTCTTTCTCTCCATGCGCTGTTCGAGCACCAAAGGTTGTCATTTTAGAACTCTGAAGAAGCGTTTTAAAAAAACAAGACAACAACCCAACCCCACCCCCTGCAGATCTGGTGCCAGCACTCTTTGGGTGGCTACTCAGTGAGGACGGGAGGGCAGGCTAGAGTTAGTGGTGTGCAGACAGTCTGCTGGGCTGCACTTTAAAGCAAGCACAGCTGGTCTGGGCTGAGTGTTCCAATATCTACTTCACGTTTGCCTGGGGCAGCCTAACCACAACGAGGAATGGAGATGTTTCGGTGACTCGCTACGTGCACTGGGTGAGGCAAAACCCTTAGCTGGACCAGCATCCTGGCCTGCATCTTGATCTGTGCCATTTTAAAAGCCCATGAGTGACGACAGATCCATCTGAGGCCTCCCTGGATCAGAGAGGTTGGCGGCTACCAATGTGGTTGGCCAGGATGGGGTTTGAGGACCACATGGTCCTTTTCTGTTTTGGTATAAGCTACTATGTGCCCAAACACTTGCTGCCAGCCAGGCACTGGGCTCGTCCACTCCCCAGAACCACCCCATGAAGCAAGCACTGAGTCAGCCCATGGTACAGATGACAGAGGGAAGTGTGGCTTCTAATTCTCTACCCAGTGATGGCAGAGCCAGAGCTGCCCCAGGCTACCCTGCGGTTTTACAGATAAGCAAGTGACACTGGGGAGGCCGTTGCTTGCTTGAGTCCCACAGCTGGAAGTGACAGGAGTGGACAGAGGCAGATGCAAACTTCTTGGGACTCGGCCAGGGGCCTTTCCAAGTCTGTGAGCACCACATGGCATCAGACTAGAACCAAATAAAATACTGGTCTGGATTAGGCTTACTTTTGACTATGTATATAATTCAGAAAATGGCCTGTTTCGATTCGAATTTGGATATATTCAAAAATTACTTTTTAAAAATTAAATGTTTACTAGATTTGTGCTTCAGAATTAAAGAGTGCACATGTATATGTTCATGTGTGTGGGGAAAGAGAAGTGTGATAAACCTGTCAGAGTCTAATTTCTCCAGTTTTGGGGGAGCCCCATCCTGGGAGGGCGTGCCAGATGGCAGGCTGAGCACTGAGTCTCCTGCGACTTCCCACCACACCCCCGACACACCCGCGTGGCCATGTGCTCAGCTGCCTGGCTCCGGAACAGCCTCGTTTTCTAGGGAAGAGAACACGTCCAAGTCACCTGCTTCTGATGTGAGTCATTCCTGGCACAAGCAATCAAAACTGCTCCGTCCATAGGACACAGCAGTCCTGAGAAATGCAGGCTGCCTTTCTGGCCCTGGCTGTGGAGGAGCCCAGGTTGTAGTTCCACGGAACTCCTTGAATGAAGAGATCGATATTTCCAACATCAGAACTGAGGCATCTTGCACCCCCTCACTCTGGCTCCACTGCACAACTTTCACTGAGCCCCAGCGCCAGTCCATTTGCTATAGAGCTGCCCACACAATCAACAGGGATAATCTATGCATTTTTTAAAGGGCAAATTTTGGGTGCCCACCAAGTCTTAGCAAGAGAAAAACGTCATGGCAGGAGGATCTAGCTCTGAGAGTCTTCTTCCTGTAGCTTCCTCTTGAATGTCTGTGCATACTCAGGTAAACCAGAAGATACCCAGTGAAATAATGCATAATGCTGATTTCAACTGGAATTTTGTTAACTTGTGAGAACTATGATTTCAGTCAGCGTAACCAAACTATATCTATAAAGAGCAGACAATAAATACTCTGGTGTGTGGGCCACAAGATCTCTATCAACCTGGCCTGGACGCAGCCACAGACAACACATGTACACACAGGCCTGGCTGCATCCCAGCAAGCACCAGGTGCATGAACGGGGGCACACGGGCCATTGCTTGCCAACTGCTGTGTCAAGAATATTCTTAAGAAGGAAAATCCAAAGAAGTACATGTAGATTTTTGCTGTATGTTTGTCCCACCCTGCTTCCTTCCCAAGGTGTTCAATCACTAGAAGGGACGCCCAGGGGCTGTGGGCCACCTGCCTCCTCTCTTCACTGCACAGCCACAGGAGTAGAGTTCCCTGCTCTGGGGCCATGCGGGAGGACCCCTGGCCCCAGCCCCAGGATCCTGTCTAATGCCCAGCTGTCAGCTAACTGCCTCCTCTTCTGGAGGACAAGGTGGGTTCTCTCTCATTCCAACAGAGAACCCCCCATACCCTTCTCTCCAGACCTAGGTCTCCTGTTCCCTCACTACCCCCTCATTTCTGTTAGTTTTCCAGCCTCTCTGGGTTTATTTCAGCCCTCACCCCACTCTAAAAACAACCACCCTCCCTTGATTTGCATCCTGTAGTGACTCTTACCCTTTCTTTATCATAGAAACTTCTCCACAGAGCCAATGACACCCCCGTTTACCTTCCACCACTTGACTGAAACGACCCTTATGACCCCCTCACCAACGGCTCCTGGTGGCCAAGCCCAAGGGCTTTGTTCTTGGTGGTGGCCCCAGGACCAGCTCTGACAGCCAGCCCGGCCCCTGAAGTAAAGCATCCCCTGGCTTTTAAACCATGGAGTGTTTCTGCCCCATCTCTGACTGTCATCTCCACCCCTCCCTGCCCATGAGACAGAGTCTGTGTCTGTTCGTGACAGTACCCCGAAAGTCAGGAGTCACTTCTTAGATGGAAAGGATGTTGTCTTTTTATTTCTTAAAAGCTGGTCCCCCAGGGTCTGTCTGCCTCACCCTTCTTCCTAGCACCCTCCAGACACACACTCTTGCCGTCACCCGAATCCGCACAGGTGCAGACACAGCTTGAGCCAAACTGTTTTCTTTACTCGATGTTTTCCTAATTCACAGCACAAATACGTATCAATATGTGTATGTTTTCCACTTGGGCTTCTGCACACAGAAAACCCTTTCTAAGACCCACAGAGTACTTTAAACACACACTAAAGGACTTCAATGCCCTAAAAACAAAGAACATATTTTGTAGGTTCTCCACATTATAAAAACAACAAAAGGTCTTGACATCAAAGCCCAAGCAAGGCTCACAGAAGCGAGGCGGGCATACTCACCAACGTGATTCAGTGCAATCACTGTAGCAGCGCTGGACACTGTCACCAGTATTCCCTGCCACCCTGAGGCCTGGCTCTCCTGTAAGTGACACGTGTTACTGTGTACTCAGTCGATGGCTTGGTCTCCGGAGTGGGCTGCAGCTCACAGAGACAGCAGGACAGGGACATGCCTCGCAGCAGGGACGGTGACGGTGAGAGGCCAACGCAGCCAGCTATGGGGGGCTTCCCACACCGCAGATCCTGAGCCTCCGCCGCACACAAAGCTACCTGTGCACACTCCTGTGCAGCAAAGCCGATTAGGGACAGCGGCATCACACATCCCATTGAACTCAGTCGACAACCACAGTGTGTGCGCTTTGTTAAGAGGCTGCCTCTGGGATGCGGGGCTGGGAGGACCTTCTATTCTCTGCCTTTGTTCTGCGGTATTGTAGAATATCGATGCAAACGCATATGCTGCCCTTACAAATAGATAAATCAATGAGATTATTCTTATCCTGGAGAAAAACAACACCTGGGATGAGCCAAAGCCGCTGAGCAAACCCAGAGATCCTGCAGCTCTGGAGCCAGCACTGATGCACATGCAGCGCTCGAGTACACAGAGGGGCTGTGCCTCCCCACCGCCTGCTGGGAGGCACCCAGAACGGAAGGCCTGGCCACAGTCTGTCCCTCCTGACGCTGACTGCCAGGTTGGAAATTAGCGGAGGGGAAGTGGCCAAGAGAGTCTCTGCACAAGCTTGTCAGGGTGCTCCCAACCTGGCAGCCCCTGGATTTGACCCGGACCTCTCACCTCTCACCTCTTTCCTTGGCTAAAAACGAACTGCCCACTCTTTGCCTGAGCAAGAGTAGAATCCGGGGTTGAGAGGATGAGTGTGAAAACGAGCCCCTTCCTGCAGCTCCCCCCAGTGTTCGGCGGGAAAGACACTGAGCATTGGGAGGCAGCAGCGCAGAGACACCCCTGGGCTCACATGCCGCTGGCCTGGGAGGGAATCCTACCGGCTCCCCATCACTCCCCTAACCGCCGCAAACCCTCCCAATGCCCACAGGGTAAGCACAAGCCTTACGTGGCCCAGGAGGCTTCATTCTACTACTCCAACCCCATCTCCCCAAATCACCCATGGTGCCTCTGGCCCCTGGTCCTTGCCCATGCTGTGCCTCTGACCCTGCAGCCTTTCCCAACGAGTGGCTCCTACGCATCCTCCAGGCTCCAGCCCCCCACACCCAGGAGGCCTGTCTCTCTGTGGCCCTTCATAAGTCTGTCCCAAGGTGGTTCACTCCCTGTCTTCTGCAGGTGAAAGCCTTATCTTTGGAAACGCAGCACCGGCAGGCCCTGTAGAGATGCCGAATGCCCACTCCTGGTCTGCTGAGAAGCCACGGCCATGACCTTCCACCCAGTCAGCCTTGTCCTGCCTCTGACCATGAATGTGACTTCAAAAGCTCTTAAATTTGAGGTGCACAACCCAGTGTTTCCCAGCCTGCTGGTCCCACCACAGCACAGGGGCCTTCCCCTGCATCGGTGCAGTCATGCTTGGAGCACTATTTTCAATTGGGTCTGGGCAGGGCGACGCCTTACAGGGCCTTGTGGGGTGGGGCAAGAACCGGGCCGCTCTCATGGTAGTGGGGAGATAGACAATTCAACTCCTCTTTCCTTCTCATCTCCCTGCAAACTGTCCCAAACCTTCACCTTTTCTAATGCATTAAATACTTGGTTTCCAAGGCAGGAGTCCTAACAACCAGACAGAAAGCTATTCTGAAAATAGGATGGGGAGACATGGGGGGGGTCAGGCTGAGACTCGCCAGGAAGGGGCAGGGAGGACTGTGGCCAAGGCCGTAGGAAACTTGACTGCTCAATGATGACAAATCTGTAGAAACGAAACACGGGGTTTGCAGTGACTCCTCAAATGGTCTGTGGTTTCTAGAAGCCTGGCCAAGACGATGACTGAGATACGTGGCGAGGGGTGGGGGCGGGGAAAACTGCAAAGCCAGTTTCACTCTATTGCCACAAAAGCTAACCTTGCCTCAGGGAAACTTCTGGCCAAGGACAAGTTCCAACTTCCTCCTTCCTGGGCAGAGGGGCACCCAGGACCCCTCCCTGCCTCAACTGACCCAATGAAGCCACCCAAACGCCCTCTCCCAAGATTCGCCACATCAAATAAAAAGGGTTTGATCATTTAAGTCTTCTGGAAAACATTAGAGGGAAATGACCGTAAGAGCCGCCGCCTCAGTGCTTTGCCGTAGCTGGCCAGGGCTGCTTGGGTCGCTGTGTATTTCGCTTCTGGCCTCTCCATGTGAGCTTTTCTCAGAAACAGTGAAAGAACAATGGACTCGGCATGCCCATGAGAGCATAGTGCCTTGACCCGTGGACACACCGGCGAAGGCTCTCACGAGAGGCAGGCCCACCCTCCCACACCGTGCTGGGCCCATCCACGGGGACACCAGGCAATGTGGCTCACACAGCTTTTGGAAAGCTATTTTACAGGTGGGCCAGGAGGTGTGCTCTGAACCACATGTGGGAGGTGGCTGAGCAGAGGGACACAAGTCAACCCTGAGGGTGGACCCCACGTGGGGCCTTGGGAGGCACCTCTGCTGCCCTGTCGCTTCCTCTCTGCCAAAATCACACTGACCTCCCCTTCTAACCGCCACTTCCTGCCCTGTCTCCCCACCCGGCAACACCAGGCTTGGTCCACTGCACGCGTCTGGCGCCACACATTACCGTGGGCTGTGCTCAGAGGGTCTTGCTCATGTCCCACTCGCACCAGGCAGCACCACGCACACACTGCACACAGCAGCTGTGCCTCGGTGGACCTGTCCGCGTCACCCTAGCTCAAATCAGACAGCCAGGAAGGACACAGGTGTGTGTGAAGTCAGACTCCTCAGCCTCGGCCCTGTGTTGAGACGCACATCCTAGGTCCTCCCACATGTACCTGGCTCACCACTCCATGGTGGGCTCACAGAACCACGGGTGTCGGGTGGGGAAGGGGAGTGGCAGAGCTGGCATAAAGTCAGGGCCACCGCGAATCACGTCTCACAGAAGCCAGGAGGCAAGAAATGCTGGATGGGGCCGGCAGAACAGAAAGTAGGTGGCAAAGTGACAAGGGCTTCCCCATGGGAACTAAAACTAGTGCTGTGCCCCTCAGTAGGCTGGGGCTGAACCTGCTCCATCGCAGAAGACACCTGCCACAGCCACAGCAGGGGCTCCGGGCCAGGGCGTGTCCCAGGTGTGACACTCACTTCTCCATTTTCATTCCTTACTCAAACCACTCAAACTTATGTGAAGGGGAGAGGAAACAACAACACACAGAAGTTGGAAGCTTCAGGCAATAAAAAGAGAGAAAAACTTACACTGAGATAAAGTCAGGCTTTGGGGCAGTAGCTTTTAAAAGCTTTTGGTTCACAGAGATCCTGTTGGGAACCTGACTAACCATGAATCTGCTCCCAAGAGACCTAAACAGAGGCGGTGGGTACACAGGCCCCTCTGTACCACTGGTTCCACTCTGAGACTGCTGGGGACCCCCAATGTCAGTGAGAAGAGACACTGGGATACTCCTCTCTGTGGGGGTTTCTGGGTTGCCGGATGCCCTCAGGAACCCATGTAGACTCTTGCCTCCAGGTGTACATTTCAAACCCCGTCTGTGCACTTCGGGCAGCTGAACATCGGCCAAGACACCATCCCAGCAACCTGTCACCCCACGTCCCTCACCCAGGTGTAACAGGAAGGGTCTGAGAGGCTGAACTGAGCCCCGTCCCCGCCAACCCAAGCAGCCGCCCAGCACTCACCATCACGAGCTCCTTCTGGAAGGACTTTCGATCTTTGCTCTCCGTGTTGTTACATTCCTCCTTCAGCTTCTCCAGGACAGATGCCACCCGCTCGGGCTCACTGTCCAGCTCTGCCCGGCAGAAGAAGGTGAGCGGCACGTTCACGTAGCCCAGGGCATCGGCGAAGGCGCGCCAGCTGCTGATGTTCTCCATGAGCAAGGTCCTCACGGAGGCGTAGATGTAGGTGAGGAATTTGCAGGGCCGCAGGATCTGCTCTAGCAGCACCGAGGTGCTCAGCTCGGGCCCCGAGAGCAGGCTGGGCCGGGCCCTGCCGACCACCAGCACGTTCTTGGCGTGCACGAGGCCGACCTTGCCCTGGTAGTAGCCGATGTACCACTCCTTGGTCCACAGCTGCCCCTTGAGCCTGATACGCTCCTCGCTGAGCAGAGCAATCCCGTCGCCCTTCTTGTACTCCAGCAGGTAGTGGTTCTTGTTCTGCCGCACCACAGTCTTGAGCAGCTTGCCGAACTTGAGGCTGGACACGGGCCGGTCCTGAAAGGTCGGGTACTTGGTGGTGGCAGCGAAAGGGGACAGAATGATTTTCCCAACTTCGTTCTTCTTGAGAAACCTCCTTTGCCCGGATGGCTTGATGGCACTTTTTGGGGGTGGCTGGGGAGTCTGGACGCAGAACTGGGTCAGGATGGCCTCCTGGTCGTCTTTGACCTGCACCCGCAGCGTGAAGTCGGAGAGCTCGCCGGGGTTCTGCGAGGTGATGGGGAATATGAGGCGGCTCACCCTGCCCAGCTTCATCTGAAAGCCCCGTACAACCTTGGCTTGCTCACTGGCCTTCACTTCGTAATTTGTCATGTTGGAAAACATGCAGATTTTGAGATCCTGGGGCCTGGACAAGATGAACTGGTGCTTGCCCCACAGCTGCAAGGCCACTGGGGCGGGGCTGGGGGCCTGGCGTGTGACCTCACTGACCAGGAGCGTCTTTGGGGCACAATCATGCCCGAAAATGGTCACTACTGTCTTGAAGGATGGGTGGATATGTTTGGGACCGTAGAGACCCACGGTGACTTTTTTATGGATGAAGTCCCAAACAGTGGAGGGGTAGAGGATGTTCGGGCTGTGGGCAACGACGGCCAGGTACATACAGGGCTCCAGGTTGTCCAGCTGTACCTGGATGGTGTCCCCGTAGCTATAGGTGAGTGGGATGGAGACATACGGCCCTTCCTTTGAGTCGCTCCTCAGGCACTGGAGGGCCACTGTGCTTTTGCTAAAAAGGTCATTTTTCACCTCGGCTGAAACTTTCATCTCCAAGATGATAAAGGTTTTCACTTCCAGGTTGCTGAGTTTGACCTCTAGTATGGGGCTGATGCTGCTGGACTTGTCGTTGTTGAGATCCAGCGGGGGGTCCAGCAGGGCTTTCATGGAGATCTGCTGCGTCTCCCCAGGGGCCACGTGGCCCTCGGGCACGTGGATGCTGATGCTGGTGTCGGGAAGCTGCACGGCGCCCCCCGAGCTATCGAGCTTGCACACGATGTTCGTCTCCACGGCCTGGGTCTGCCCCCAACCGGGGCTTTGGCCGAGCAAGTCCAAGTCATGGCAGGACCGGGCCAGCTTCCGGTGGTTCAGCCAGGCAGTTCGAAAATCTTCCCGGCTCTGAAACTGCTCAGGCGCAGGTGACTTCAATCCCGTGAAAAAATTTGACGACGTGGGGACGTCGGCCTTGGCTTGGAGGACAGAGAGCTCTGACAGGCTGTAGGAGCGCTTGCTCCTGAAGAAGGGGTTGTCCCGCTTGGCTGGCTGCTCTGCGTGGAGTCCGTTGGTGACCGGAAGCTCATCAAAGATGTTGCCGGTGCTGTTTGTGGTCGCTGAGCTGGACTCCGTGAAGGAGGATGTGCCCGTATCAAAAAGGAGCAAATCCACAGTACTTTTGGGATTCAGCTCATCCAAGCTGGGCAGCACCGGCAGGTTCCCATTCAGAAACGGGTTTGTTTGGACCCCGTTCCAAAAAGGGTTGTTACTGTACGTTCTGCCCAACCCTTTCTTGTCATCCGGCCATCCCCCGAGCAGCTCTAACTCTGTGGCCACTTCGTCTGGGCTGTCGGGGAGGTTGTCGATCACGCCGCTGTCGCTCAGGGTGGAGTTCCGGTAGTTCAGCGGCTGCACGTAGGAGGAAGGGATGTAGCCCATCTCGGTGGTGTTGTGTGCGTACCACCACTCGCCACCCGATGTGTCCAGCACGTAGAGGTGGTCTCCCTTGGAGAACTTCAGGGTGGTGAAGTTGGTTGGGCAATAGTCCTTGATCGCGATCACTTCCTTAGCATTTCCGAAAGGTGTGGGGCTGTCCGCTAGCAAGGCACTGGGGGAAGGCACTGTGTAAACAGAGAAACAGAGGGTGAGGGCGAGGCCAGCGGGTGCCACGGGACACTTCAGAGAATAGGGAGAAAGGTGGTGTGAGAGATGTGGACCACAAACCAGGCAAACAACCAACAGGACCCAATTTTTCTTTACATACCTTCTTAATATAACCACTAAAAGAGAAGCTGAATGCAATGTATTAGAAAACAAAGGGATGTGATGAGTTAGGCAACTCACTGCATTCAACTCAGAACTGGAAATGAACAGCTGCGAAAACAGTCTCTCAGTCATGTGCAGGAGCCCACTCCAAGTTCTGCCTTAACGTGGAATATGTCACGGAGGAAAAGGCTCCCTTGACAAACAGGCCTGGTTTTTAAATCCCCAAGTTCAACCTATTCCCCACAGAAACTAAACTGTTTTCTTTAGAGGAAACAAACAGTGTGAGGTCAGTCTCTTGGGACCTCTTTTAAATAATCATTCAAAATCACTACATGAAAACGGACCATCCACAGACCCTGAAAATCAGAAATTATGCCTGGTTGTCATTCACAATGCTATTAAACCAGTGTGTGAGCGGTCTGGAGAATTCCAACAGTATAAAAAGTGAATCGAGTTAATTTATGGTTCTTGGCATTAAACTATGTATGTTACCAAAGGAGACAGCAAGCGAAACAACAAAAAAGAACCATCTAAATAACTGGTGTGTGTTTTAAAAAATAATGGATATAAGTAAAAACTCAAGCCTTCTCTCCCTCCCATACATGAGAAAGTGTATTCAGAGGATAAAGAAAGTTCTTTCTGGCAAAAATAAGCCCAAACACTTCTGCCTAGGACCTCCTACCCCACCTCAATTGCCTTGTTTACAGAGTTTGCTGGTATCTGTCTTCTTGCATCAAATAATGAAAAGAAAGGAAACTTGTTTTTAAGTTGCCTATGCAAATGAGCAAACAAAAGATTAAATTTTTAGTTGAACTAAACCTACATCTTTTCAATATGTAATTAAGTCAACAGTCATCCTACTCCATCAAGTTGGCCCTCCAAAAAAAAAAAAAAATCATCTGCCAGTTTCCTTTCCCTTTGGAAAAGGATAATGAAAATTGAATTATATTTCATTGGCAAAGTCTTACGAAATCAAGCAGGAAGTTTCTATTAATTTACATTAATTAGGCTGCAGAGATGTGCTTGGCTGGGGGCATACCTGGCCCTTGAAGCCTCACCTACCCCCTCCTGTAAAACTATGTCGTCTTTCTGGAGTGTTTCGGAGAACCCAGCTTTGGGACCACTAGATCTGGAATGCATTGAGGCCCTTAAAAGCTTTGTGATCTCTGGAGCACGAGATTCTTCATGATGGAGAACAAGCGTCTTTCCTTGTGTGCTTTGGTGAGGATGAAACAAAAGGACTCACAAAACATGTGAAAACAGAAACCTCCACCCCATTCCTGATGTTATTTTTCTCCATAGCTCTTATCACCAGCCACTCTGTCATGTACCTGAGGGGATTTGGAACATGTTACCCCAAACTATGGCATCATGAATATTTTAAAGCTGAAGGAGTTTGAGAAACAGTAGGTGCAGGGAGGACTCCCCGATCTCCCGATCTTCCCCTGGAGCAGGTCCTCAGATCCGCCCCCCCCTACACCGTGAGAGGTGCCCTCCCTAAGCTGGAGGACAGAGTACCCTCGTCGCCAAGGACACAGGGAATCTGAACACACAACCCTTTCTGCTCCCCTTTGTTCGCTACGCTCGGCTGGGGCTTTTGCTGTCCTGTCACTTTTCTCCGTGACTCCACACTTTATCAGATTTAGGATAAAAACACTCAGTTTCAACTGTTTCTTTGGGTCTTCATTTCCTTATGAAGGGATATATACATATTTTCATAATACACAGAACATATGTTCATAAAGTTTTCATGCTTTTCTCTCAGTAATCTTTTGTTGCGGGGGCCCAAGCCAAGAACTCAGAGAGTAGAAGAAACCAACATTTTCCCTTCGTTATGTACCTTTCATATTTGTTTTGATTTGGGGGGGAGGGTCTCCATCTCCCCATCAGGGTATAAGCACCACGAGAGCCTGTTTTGTTTGCTGTTCTATCCCCGGTGCCTTGCGCACAGCCTGGCACATGGCCTGGGCTCAATGAGTAATTGTGGGAGGAATGGTCTCGCTTCGTAGGCACAGAGAGGCCACACCCATGTCACTGGATCATGGTGTCGGCCACAGCAAAATCTGCATTCCCTTGGCTGTGCCCTTACGCTGTGAAATCACAATAAGACAATCACTTGGCATGGCACAGGAGTGAACAAGAACAATGCAGAGAAAGAAAACGGCTTTGGGGGAGAGGCGGGAGGAAGGGCTGTGGGCTGGGCCAAGGCTGGGATTCACCAGCAATTCTCTCCACTTGTTTTCTAGTCCTCGTCCTCAGAAACATAAACTGTTTTGTATCCTTGACACAAGGATGTGGGAATCCTCTACTGGAAATGTCACATAAAAACTAAAACCAAATGAAAATTCAATAAAGCTTGCTAGCCACTAAAATCTTATTAGAATCCTTCAAACAATCCTTATGATGCTTCCCCAGAATAATTCCCTTTCAGTAATATTTTCAAAATTAAAAAAATCAAAACAATTAAGCATGCTTTGTGCATAGCCTAGAACACATCAATGCAAATGATCATTTCAGCTTTTTTATTTTTGTTTTTACCAGACTGAAGGTAACAAGGGTTTTACTTAAAATTCCAAGCACCTTCCTTAGAAGTGATCACATAGATTTCACTCAAGTATCCGGCTCATCCAGGGAAGGGGGAAACTGCCCCCCTTCCCTGCAGGACCCCCAGGAGGTGGATGTGGTGTGGCCTCCCTTTGAGATGAGGACCTCCATCTGTCAACTGCTACCAAGCACCTGGGGACACCGGGGAAGGGCTTACGCTCCATCCAACACCAGAAAATCTCTACTGAATTCCACCTTAATGAATTCTGGGGCTCATAGCCCAGATTCACAGCTACCTTGACTTTAATACCAAAAAACCTCCTTGGGTGTTAGGAAGTTGAAAGCCCTGCATAATATATTTCCCATCTCTCTGCCTAAGTTCTTATGCAGGCAAAACATTCATCAGAGCAGAAGATTCCACAGCAGATGTTGTGGCAGGAATAGACTCCCACCTTGAAGTCTGTCTATCACTGGGATGTGATGCTGCATGGGATGCCTCTGGGGTCATGCGCTGCCCCTTGGCAGTCAGGTCCTGAGGGTCTCTGGCCAATCCACCAATCTCAGATTCCCAACACCCTTCTTCCCAGGCGAACGTGCCCCTCCTCCTCACATTTGAGGCTGTCTTGTCTGTCTGTATTCTTTTAGAAATAACAGCCAGTATTTCCTCCCAGATCATTATTTTTTAAAAATTCAACTCTCTGCCCCTGGCCTTAAGACCCAAACTGCATAATTTACCCTCACATTTTCTAGCTTTAACTCTGATTAGTTGGGCTATAAAGCAAGAAAACAATGTGCGTTACTGGAACCTGAAAAATAAATGCTTCCGTTACTTATATATAGCAACACCCGATAACTCTGTTGTTACTTTATTAATAAAATCTCATGGTCTTTTTACTAGTCTTTTCTCTTAAATAGCATTTACAACAATGCTCAGGACTGCACACACAAACCAGAGATGGGAAGCATAGCAATCAATGAGTCGGACATGAAGATACCATGTAGGATTTTTAGTATAACAGGGGAGAGCCTGCAATTTTATCTGTGGGATAGCGGTTTGGTTCAAGAAACATTTATTTAGCACTGACTTTGTGCCTCGGCTAAGGATGCAAAGGTAAGTTCCTCCTGTGCAGCTGTGCTCCAGGTAGCACAGGGGGTGATTTCAACAGAATGTGCTAAATGCTATGACAAAACAAACTAACGATGGCATTGATGGTGATGCTGCCGCTGCTGCAACTGCACAAGGCATGCAAGACAGACTCTGCATGGCCGAGTCAGGGTAGACCTCTAGGAAGAGAATGACGCACAGATATCCACCTTGGTGTCCAAAAGACAGGTTTTCTCCTCAACCCAATTTTATGAGTCCGCTGGCAGCAGTGAGCAGAGGGGTTGCTAAACCCTGGGGCTGCCTTCTGGACCAGGTGTTAGTGAATCATGGCCCCTGGCCAAAGGTGGCGGGCAGTTTTTGTGAATAAAATTGTCTTGGAACACAACCATGTCTGTTTGCCTACTTCTAGGGCTGCTTTCGAACTGCAAGACCAGGGCTGAATGCCATGGCAGAGATTGCAAAGATTAAATTAGTTACAATCAGACCCTTTGTAGAGAAAGCTTGCTGAGCCCTGTCCCAGCCGAACTTTCTCTAGTGTTCTCAACGTGTCACTACTCACCACCCTCTCCTTTCCCCTAGGTTTCTATACCACCAAGACCCCTTCCTAACTGTCACCTAAATTCCTCAGAGAGAAGGGGCTTCATTATTAACGACACATGCAAAACCTCCTCCCAACCCACCAGAAAACAAGACAAGTGACTACTGTTCCAGAGCTGAATTGACAACAAGATGAAGTGTAGAGAGCTAAAATTTAATTGTCTGTAAGCTAAACTGGCAGTCTTTAAAGTAGAAAGTTCTAGGTCTGAGGGCACTTGCAAATCTCATCTCTTCCCTCAGCTGCAATTCAGTCCCCAGATGCTCACCTTTGACATCGTTAAAGCTCGTCTCTGAGAACCCCTCACTCAGGTCGATCAAAGTCCCCTCTGACTTGCACCGGGGGAGGCCATTGGAGTTGGCAGCTCGGATCCGCTGAGCCGCCATCTCGAAATTCGCCTCCTGCGTGAGCTGCTAAGGCCTCATGTTTCTTCCTGAAGTTACTCCAGCGGGTGCTGATGCCTCTGTCTCAGGCAAGCACGCTGCACGATGGCATCAACCTGGCAACGTGCTTCCTCCTGAAAGGAAAGGAGGAAAAGACAGTTTCCCTTGAGCAAGTGGAACATAGCTTCACCAGTACTTTTATGGGAAGTGGGAATCCACCTTCTTGCAGGCCGCTGCAGTGAAGACAGACCCACTCCCTCTCTCCTGGCCTCCGAGAGCAGAATGTGCTTGCCGCAGCCTCTGTGCCTACTTTGTGCTCTGCTCATCGGCTCCCTGGGCACACACAGCCTGGGCAGTGTTTCCTGGCTGCCGCCTGCACCTGCTCCTCCTGGGGGCACAGTGGGGTTTGTGAAATCGTCTCTAGCACCTGCCCAGCCCATTCACTGCAGTCAAAGAGGAAGACAAAATGGGACTGTGCAGCCCACGCTGCTCGTCCAGGGCACAGGAAGCACACTGCTCGTCCCAGGACACGGGAAAGGAGGCGCCAGCCTCCGTCTGTCCAGAGAGAGCTGGTCCTTGAGGAGGAGCAGCCATCATGGTGACTCGGCGCAATGGTGCTCACATCCTGCTGCGGTGGCAGGGAGGCGATGTGGCTGCCCACCTGCTCCTAAAATCCTCCTAAAAACCTCCAAACAGACCATTGTGAGTACAATACAGACTGGCCATAAAATATTCCTGGTGTAACTTATGCAGACACACCTGGGGCATATTTACTGAACCACTGTATTGTTACGAAGCCAGCAAAGATGTTTCTGTGGGAGACAGCACAAGGATCACCCCCAAAGCCTCTGCTTTTTCCTGGGAGGGACACACAGACAGGACTTAAGCATTGGGGGGTTCTAGATACAATGAGGTAACTGGCTCTGAGTGGACCCTTCATTGGGGCAGGAAACAGGAACGGCTGAGAGCCAATTTCAAAGAGGTGAATTTCACATGCTATCCAAGAGAAAGGGTCAGACACTGCCACACCTGTCCACAGCTGGCGCATAGCACATGGACCTGAGAGCAGGCCAACTCCACCCCAAAATAACTGGGCTCACCCAAGATGGTCTGAGGCTCCTTATCCCTCAATTGCTCTATCCAGTGACAGCTGGAACCGTGGCTTCAAACCTGGCATGCTGCCTTTGCCATGCAGAGACCTGGAGGCCCTGACACCACCCTCTGTGGAGTTTCTGCATGGGGCGGGGGACCTGGGCTGTGCCTATCCCACTCTTTCCCCAGGCTGAGAGACAGGAATGAAAACCTTCTGGTCCAAAAGGGTCAGTATTGTTTACTGGAGAAAACCAAGGTAGACAGAAAACAGCCATGTATGAGCAGGTAGAGGAGGGGAGCTTAAGGACAGTTTAGAACCCACAACCTGTGCTGGCCCGGGGGACTTTCACATGTGACAATGACAGCTCTTACTGCAGAGTCTCAGGCTGACTATGCCTCTGGGAGTCAGCAACGGGTTACGGCAGAGAAGGAGGGAAAAGTCAGGAGGTATCAGCTGTAAGAGGCAACTGGGGCACACCAGTGCCCCATACCTTATGGATCATTCCATAAGGGGCCCCACCCACCTACCATATGTGTGAGTGTGGGTATCTCTCCTCGACTAGGAAAACCCCTAAGAAGCCATCAACTCAAATGCCCAGGCAGCCTGGGCCCCTCAAAGATAGGTGGACATGGCTGGGTTCCCACTCCATTGACAGGTGACCCAGACTCAGATACCCACCTGCCCTCCAAGAGCTCCCTTCAGTGCCTAACGGGCATATCAAACTTTCTGGGCCAAAAGCCAACTGTGGGAGTGCCTCAAACCTCCACCCGCCACTTTCCCTTTTCAGCTAGGGCAGCTCCATTAAACCAGCCCCAAAGCCTCCCCGATCTTCCCCCAATCTCTCTCAAATATGTGGGTGTGTACATGCACACACCCTGCACATGCACATAGCCTGCACACACACACACACCCTACACACGCACACACAGCCTGCACATGCACATACATGAACATACCCTGCACACGCATACACAGGCAGGCGGCTCCACTTCCACTTCGGAACATAACCCCCGTCTGACCTCTTCTCAGTACCTCCACACCACTATGGTCTCTCGGCTGAATTACAGTAATCGGCGCCATTCCAGCAGGTCTGCCAGCATCCACCCCTCAATTAGTAGCCACAATGTTTTGAAGTCAGTCAGACACCCTCAGGACTCTGTTCAAAACCCTCCAAAGGCTGCTGAGCTCTTAGGGGGCTTCCACTGTGCTACACTATTTGCACTTGCGTCTTGATCCCATCTCCCGCTGTCCTCCCTCCCTCCACCCGACTGCTCTGGGTTCCACGCGGTTCCCCAGACACCATGCCTCTGCCAGCACAAGGGGCCTTTGTACACGCTGTCCCCTCACCTGGAAGGTGCAACCTAGACATCCACCACCCTCGGTCCCTCACTGCACTCAGGTCTCTGCCCCAACGCCACTGCAGCGGGAACATCCCTAACCCCATCCTCTCCCTACCTTATCACCACTGGGTACACCGCACACTCACTTGTCCCCGGCCTGACTGCTCCATGGGAACACAAGCTTTCTGAGGGCATGGGGTTCAGTTTCTGTTCCCACTGCTGAGATGGACTTGCACATGATCGGCTCTCAAATACAAATGAATGAATTCTATTTCAATAAAGATGACAGTGTTCAGAGGAATTTTGGTAGTATCTCTGGGATAATCTCTAAGAAGTTGAATGGCTGAAGTGGCTTGATGCAGGCTGAATTCAGGAATTCTGCTCAATTCCTAAAATCTAAGCTACACATTCCCACAACATTGGTGGGCTTCCTGGGTGGGCACCCTGTACACACCTGCACAGCCTGGCCTTGCAGGCTTGGCCCCTCCTTTCAGTAGGTCTTAGTGGCCACGTCTCCAGGGCAGCCAGCAGCAACCCTGTCCCCTCCCCTCCAGACCATACCTGCGTGTAGCGGGGAAGCCACCCTCTACTCTCCCAGTGGGAGTGGGTCTGGAAGACAGAAGGGTGTTAAAGCTTACCTGTCTCCTACTCATAGCTGATGAGCGTTTCCCTGTCTTGTGTGAAGGCTGCTTCATTTAGAGAGAGAAGTCGCTGCTTCTGGCTCCTCTCCAGGACCCGGGAGGTCAGCCTCTGAGTGCACGGCACTGCTGCACCCAGAGACAATTACTGATGGATTCCCGTGCAAGCTCGGGGAACCCGGGAACACCCCTCGGCCACAGCTGCCGCCTCAACACTCTCAGATTCCAGAATCTCAGAGCGTTCTTGTGGTGGCCTCGCTGCCAATGATCTGCCTTGAGAAATAAACAACAAACCAACTCAGAAAAAACGACCTAAGGTGAGCACGTTTGGATGCTTCTCTGGCTGCTGTGGCCATGACCTTGCAGAAGGAAAGCCAGGGCCTGGGGGAGGAACAGGCATAAATACTGGTCTTGGTTCCTCCCTTGCAATCCGTGCGTGCCTTAAGATGACTCATTCTCCACATTTCATTATAATTGCTGGAGTATCATGTTGATTTAATCAAATTTCTCCAGTTTAGGAAAAAAAGGCGAGTTTTGACCTGCTCCTGTGATTCCAGCCACCAGCCTCTGTTGCCAGAAACTTATCAGCTCTGCCCCACTCACTGCCCAGCTGTAGTGTGCACCAGAGAACCCCAAGACCCAAAGATATCCCCGTGCCAGCTGACTGTTTCTCCTGTAAGCAACTCCCTGAAACCCAACTTCCTAGGCTTTGGACACAATTGTTGTACTGGGAATGCCTTTGGGGACAAGGGACAGCAGAGACACCTGGTTTTCAAGGAGTCACTCTGATGACCATGGGGTTGACACTCTAGATCCCTCTCTCACTCTGAAAGGAAAGCCACAGAAACTGGCCTCCAGGTTTTGACCTGGCTGGTCTGGGCAACAACCCAAGTGGAGAGCTGCCATGTGACTGATGTCTCTGTAGGGCACTTCTAGGATAGCCCTGGCAGGAACGCACAGGCCCCTAATCTGGGAGAGGACCAACCTGCACAATGAAATTCAAACCTTCCCCACCACACTGGCAGGACACTTCCTCCCTGGCACAGAAATCCGGTGGCCAGAACCTTTCTTTATCTACCTTGGAACACAAGAGGAACGGGCTGTCCTATGGCCTCCAAGGTGGGCTGCCTCCTTTGTGGGGAGGAGAAAGCGTGGCCATTGCAGGGCACAGTGGGCACGCCGGGGATTAGACTCTCTTACCAGTGCCCATGTGGGGTGCACTTGCCTAAACAACTGAGTTCCGTTCAGGAGGCAGCAGCAGCATGGAGGCAGCTGTGCCGTCTGGGTGAAGAAACGAGGTACGAGGCAGAACCGTGCAACCCAGGGCCAAGACTGAGAAAGGTGGGCCTCTCGAGGGTTTCCCATCTACCTGGGACCACTGCACAGCCGTCACCTTAGTGAATATCTACCGAGTACCAATCTCTAGGAACAAGGCTCTGGCTCAGCACCAGGGACAGGAAGAAATGTAAGAGTTGGTTTTGAGGAACCCGTACCTGAGAAACACACAAAGAATGAGAGCCATGGAGAGGAAGAATAGTGAAGGTTCTATTTGCTGGGCACTGGGATAGTGACCTGTACATGTTCAAGGCTTACCTATCTCTGCCGGAGACAACCCAACAGAGACTCACAGAAGGCACGAGCCTGAGCAACAAGAGGCACTCCTTGTTCCTTGTCTGTCTACTGTGGGAGTGAGATGGCTGGAAGGGGTCGAGAGCAATGACCTAGGATGTTTTCAGCAGCCAGTGACAAAGTGAGAAAACCTGCATCTGGGGAATCTCCCAGGCAGGTCAGGGAGTGGATGGAAGGGAGGGTGGATCCCTGTCCCCCAGACCTTCTTCTCACCTGGCTTCCCCCCTCCCTTGGCTGAAGGGTTGTTCCTCCAAGTGTGCTGCACTGATCCTACCACTTCCCCAAGTTCAAAGCAACAATCCCAGACGCTTCTGAGGCTCCCACAGCATGCAGGAGACAACCCAAACTGCATGGCTCATGTTTCTAGCCCACCACACCTTCCTCTGTATACCCTGCACGCTTGCCAAACACACCTGTTGTTTCTTTCAAAACAT